ACACCTGCAATCTCAGAACTCAGGAAGCCGAGGCAGGAGAATCACCATGAGTATCAGGCCAGTCCGAGCTACATAGTGAGACTGTCTCAATGGGGGAGGTGGGAGCAGGTGTGGTGGTTCACACCGCCAAGCCCAGCACTTGGGAGATTGAGACAGTAGGATTACTATTACGTTCAAGGCTAGCCTAAGTTATATAGTGAGGCTGTATCTGAAAATGAAACAAAATCCAAGAAAAGGGGGGGGGCTGCTAGCACAGGACAGGGACTCTTGGCTAACTCTAGTGGCCCAACAAACACCCCAAGGCTCTGAGGAGACTCCTGCCTCCTTGGCCCCAGCAGGCCTCTGCCTCAAACCACCTGTGCATTCCTAGTCCCTCCCACAGTCAGGCTACCCGTCAACCCACTTTATCTGCCCCAGAAGGTTTTAATGAGAGCCTGACACAGCCACCCAGTCCCTTGGTCCGATCCCTCATTAACCTCCTGCCCCGAGGGTCTCGCAGGGACAGCCCCATTCACTTCCCAGCTAACCAGGCCTGATACCACTCCAATGCTGGGAAGGAAACTGAGGCCTGCTTTGCCTCCCTTTAGGAAGCCAGCCAGAAGGGGTAGAGCCAGGAGCCCATTTTCCCATCTGCCCCTGGAGCCCCTCTTTCCTCACAAGCTGGACAGACAGGTGGGAGCCAGGCTAGGTTTCCAGACTGAGTGGGGGTGCCGTGGAAAGCAGCCTAGGGCTCAGCTTCCCCACACACAGCGGGAGGAGAAAGGCCTCCTCGCTCCGTTTTCCACTGCTCCACTCAGTGGGGATCAGAAAGTCACAGGAAAACAAGTCTCATTTCACTTTGTTTTGGTTTGAAATGGGTTGTTGCTGTTGCCCAGGCTGTCCCAAGCTCCTGGACCCTGGCCTCTCAAGTAGCTGGGACTACAAGAACACACTTGGCCTTGTTTTGAGGGTGACATATCCCCTCTGGTGCTGGGACATAACCAAAGACTGACATGGATCCAGATCTTACCCAGTGGAGGGGAGAGTTTAGGAAAAAGAGCCTCAGAGCCAGACATGCTGGAGAGCGCCTTTGATCCCAGCACTCAGGAGGCAGAGGCAGACAGATCTCTGTGAGATTGAGACCAGCCTGGTCTGCATAGAAAGTTCCAGGCCAGCTGGGGCTGCAAAGTGAGACCCTGTCTCAAAAAAAAGCTAAGAGGTAGGGGCAGGCTCAGGCAGCCCCAAGTCCAGTGGTTCCTACCAGAAGGCCAGTGAGGGGTAAGAAAGTACATGGTGCCCTAGGGCCTAAGGTGGCCAGAGACACCGGCTCCTCAGACCTGTTTGCCATTCTCCTGTGTGTGTGTGTGTGTTTTTGTGTGTGTGTGTATGTGTGTGTACGTGTGTGTGTGCGAGTGTGTGCGTGTACGTGTGTGTGCATGTGTGTACGTGTATGTGCGTGTATGTGTGTACATGTGTGCATGTATGTGTGTATGTGTGTATACGTGTGTACGTGTATGTGTGTGTGTGTGTATGTGTGTATGTGTGTGTGTGTGTACGTGTGTGCATGTATGTGTGTATGTGTGTATACGTGTGTATGTGTATGTGTGTATGTGTGTGTGTGAGTAGTGTGTGTGTGTGTATGTGTGTGTACGTGTGTGTGCGTGTGTGTGCGAGTGTGTGCGTGTACGTGTGTGTGCATGTGTGTACGTGTATGTGCGTGTATGTGTGTACATGTGTGCATGTATGTGTGTATGTGTGTATACGTGTGTACGTGTATGTGACAACATGGCAGCCCCACCTCCGACATCATCTCCACCCTTCAGGTAGGAAAGATGGAAAAACAGAGCAGGTGGAAGATGGGCATTGGGGCTGCCTGTCTTCTGAGGAAACCTCTGCTTCCATCTCATTGGTCAGAACCCGTCCTCCTGACCGCTGGCTCTGCAGAGAGGCCATTGGGATTCACGAGAGATGGGCGAGCGGAGCCAGGGCAAACAGACGTGGACAGGGAGTCGGGGCTCTTTCTCCTGACCGTCAGGACCGGGCTCACAGAGTTGATGAGAACCCAGCTTCGATCCCCGACCCTAGAGCTCCACTGAAGCCACTGCTGGTGCTGCAAAGGCAGCCGATGCTCACGGCTCCTCGGGGAAGGAGGGTGGAAGACACCAGCTGCTGAGTCACCAAGTCCCCACCTCCACATGCTGGCACAAGAGTGTCCCTGCGGTCGGGAGGAGCCCCTGGCAGGCCCTAGGGGTGTTCCGAGGAAAGCCCTTGCTCCTTGGCACTGCCTAGGGTGTGGTCCCCACGCCTCAGGCTTGCAGGGCATCGTGGGGGCTGCAGAGTTTCCTGGGGAAGGGTGCGGTCACTGTTTAGTTGCTAACAGACGTCTGCAAAATCTCAATTGTGACCCAAAGTGTGCAGGGAGAACCTTCCAAGGATATCCACATGCCTCTCCCCAGAACTGGGCAGGCCTTACCCACCCTGGCTGTGACTGGGAGACACAGGATCATGAGGGACCATGCCAGTCGGGACAAGGCATCCGGGACACAGAGATATGGGTACAGCAGCCTGAACCCACACCTAAGTTGCTGAAGCAAAGCTGGGCTGTGCCAGGACTCCTCAGACATGCCCACCTTTGCCCAGCGAGCTCTAGGGTGGGGTGTCCACACCCTTGGGTTGGGCAGAGACTGGGTCTCTCCCATGGGTCTCAGCCCAGAGGAAAAGGAAGCCAGACAGACTACGGAAGGTGGAACAAACCCCTCTCGCGCCCGCACCCATCGCCAGTCTGCTTTCCATGGAATGTTCTCACTCAGAGTGGGTTTGGCAAGCCTTGGGGCCTGGTCATGCAGGGCTGGAAGGTGACTCCTGGGAAGGCAGCAGGAGAAGACCTCGCCCATGTCCCAGGGGAATCCGAGGGACTGTCACCATCTCCCTGACCACAGGGGCTGTGGAGGTGCCTGACTTAGCCCCTCACCCTGTGCTGTTCAGTGGCCTCACGTCAGTGACAAGCATCTCTAGTAGCCAACTTGCTCTGGCAGACACCAGGACAACCACTGGGGTGTGGTTACAGTGACCTGGGCTCTACTTGGGGACAAGAGCAGGAGGAGAGACACAGTACTCAGATTGGCTGAGCTCCAGGCTGGGATGACCACAGGCTGGCTGCCCTGGCCTGTCCGCACAAGCTCTCTAATCCTCAGAGTCTTCCTCTGTGATGTGTGCATCCCTGACATCTCGTGGGAGCTTCAGTAAGGTCGATCTTAGTTCTCGCACAGAAGGACTGGGGGCTAGGAACAGCGGCAGGTCCAGGGGCACCCTCCCCGGCCCTAGCCCCACACCAACAGGTCCCCACCCACCCTGCAGATCGCGGTGACCTTCGCCATCGTGTTGGGGGTCATCATCTACAGGATCTCCACGGCCGCAGCCTTGGCCATGAACTCCTCCCCCTTGGTGCGGTCCAACATCCGGGTCACGGTCACAGCCACCGCAGTCATCATCAACCTTGTGGTCATCATCCTGTTAGACGAGGTGTACGGTTGCATTGCCAGGTGGCTCACCAAGATTGGTGAGAACTGAGTGTGGGGTGGTGTGGGCAGCATGGCCCTACGCAGGGCCAGCCAGGGAGTGGGAAGCCCGAGTGCCAGCCTCTGGCCATGCCCAGCCATGCCCAGCTGCCCCACTGTGAAGGGCCACCACGCATCTCTCCCCAGAGGTCCCAAAGACCGAGAAGAGTTTTGAGGAGAGGCTGACTTTCAAGGCCTTCCTGCTCAAGTTCGTGAACTCCTACACCCCCATCTTCTACGTCGCCTTCTTCAAGGGCCGGTAAGATCTTCGGCCCTCATTCAGTGGCCTCCTCTGCTCTGCGGATGATCTGCCCCACCCCTCCTGAGGGTAGGAGACCTCAGAGTCCAGGGGAGAGTAACCAGTGCAGCTTCCAAACCTCGATGTTTGGAAGGGTGGGCTCCACCTGGGGTGGCTGAGCAGGGGACCTCTGGGAATACACAGCCAGGTGGTGGGGACCCCTGGGGATACAGGACTAGTCAGTGGGGACCCCCCCTTGGGATACAGAGCCAGGCAGTGGACCATGGACAGTACATAACCCAGGCAGGAGGGACCACACGTAATAACAGAAACCAGGCAGTGGGGACCACGGGTATATACAAACACCAGGCAGTAGAGACCATAGGTTTATACAAACCCCAGGCTACAGTCTGGAGAGCAACCTCTGACAGGCGGCACCAAGCAGTTAGGATAGTGAGCACATGTGAGAGCCACAGAGCCAACCAGGGAGCCCTGCAGCAGAGGGACTCGAGACAGAGGAACCTGTGCATCGTAACCCCCTGGGGGGCTCTGACTGGGGTCTGCAGTGGCACAAGCCCAGGACTGGAGCGTGCGGCGTCCTGGTCCCTCAGGTAGGGACGGAAACCAGCTCTCCAGTAACCACCACCCCAACTGTTGTAGGTTTGTCGGACGTCCCGGTGATTATGTATACATCTTCCGCTCTTTCCGGATGGAGGAGGTAAGGGGTTGGCCCCTCTCCCAGCAGCCTCCTGCTGAGTTTCCTGGGTGTCTGCATGGGGAACCCAGATGCCACAGTGCCCACTTGCTAAGCAAGGAGTCAAGCAGGTTCTTTCTCCCTCTACAGTTCTGTGCTCAACGAGTGTACTAAGCTTGTGTCTTAGTGTGTCTACAGAGAATTGTCCTGAAAGCATAATTCTTAGTTTCTTTGCCTGTTGCTGTGATTAGATTCCTGACAAAAGCCATTCAAGGAAGAAAGGGTTTATCTGGCTCACAGTTTGAGGGTGTAGTCCACCATGGTAGGGAAGGCACGGCGGCAGGAGCGTGAGGCAGCTGGTCACGTTGCATCCACAGTCAGGAAGCAGAGGGAGATGCGTGCTGGTGCTCAGCTCAGTTCCCAGTCAGCAAATAGTACTGCCTCCAGTGGACAGATCTTCCCATTTTGGTGAACCCAACCAACATAATCCATCCCAGGCATGCCCAGGTACTAAATAACCCGTCCTGGGTGTGCCTGAAGACCTGTCTCCTAGGTGAATCCAGATCCTGTCAGGTTGACAGCACTATCACATAGTCTCTTTATTGTCAAAGAAAGCAAGTTAGCCGGGCATGGTGGTGCACACCTTTAATCTCAGTACTTGGGAGGCAGAGGCAGGCAGATCTCAGTGGTGGCGCACACCTTCAATCTCAGTACTTGGGAGGCAGAGGCAGGCAGATCTCTGTGTGAGGCCAGCCTGGTCTACATAGTGAGTTCCAGGCCAGCTGGGACTAC